AAAGAAGAGAGTTGTTATTTGCTGCCCGAAAATTTAATATATGTCGTCAACAATTTTGAAGTAAATTACCTTTTTACCCTCCCTCACCCACTGTGCGACCGTTTCGTCCCACCCGACTGATCTCAAACCCAACTCCTCCACAACCAAAATCTCACCGGCGAAGCGTCTCTCCCACAGTCGAGAATCGCCGTCCTCAATAAATCCCGGCCAACCACAAACCCAATTTTTGTCGTCCATCTTGATATCAAAGCTCCCGCAAGGATGATCCAACTCCAAAATAACTCCCGGAACGTCGACGTCGTCCACCTTCATCGTCTTCCCATCATCGTCGTCTCCACGTCGTCCCGTCGTGGCCGTCCGAAGCCAAGCTTCGTACCATCAGCGACCGTCCGAAACAAGGCTTCGTACCATCACCCTCTGTCCGAAACGAGCCCTCGTACCATCACCCACCGTCCAAAACGAGGCTTCGTACCATCTTCGGACGTCCGATCGTTGACTTCTAACCATGTATTTTATTTATTTATTTGCAGTAATTATAATTAATGGAGTAAACTAAATATGGAAGGTAACTAAAATGTTGTCATTATCACTTATGGGAAAATAAGGAAGTTAATATTACTAACTCCTTTGTTTTCGCATTTGTTTCTCTTGGTGGCAACTGTTTTAGTATTTAATTAGGGAAGTGAATGTAGACATGGGTTATTGGGCTCAAGATAGGGTGCATAACCCATGGTTATGTACCCATCAATAACCAAATCTGGACCCTTCATTTAGAAAATCCAGATCTAAGGATGGAGAATTAAAGACCATTTTTATTTTCACTAGTTTTCTTAATTGACTCATATCTTTTTCGTTTTAACTCGGATTTTAATTTTTTTTGCACAGATGGAACGAGTTCATCGTGCTCTACAAAATGAGATCAATTTTCAATATTTTTTTAGGAAAAAAAATTCTGGCCTTTCGGTACCAACTGCATACCATATGGTATTTTCTTCGTTTTTCATTCGTTTTTGAAAACGTTTGCACAGCAGGGACGAGTTCATCATGATCTATTTGATCTACAAATTTCTGGGTGAACAAATTACAAGACCAAAAAATACCACACAATACCATACAATACCACCATGGTACGGGGTGGTATTTTATGGTATTTTATGGTATACAATGTTAAAAGTCGTAAATGACAATTAATATACTTCTACTATCATGTATTCAATCATCCTACAGTCTTGGTTTATGCCATACCACCATGGTACGCTTTTCAAACCATAGGTATGCTCTTATTTCAATACCAGTCAATACCATATGGTATAGACTGGTATAAAATGACACAATTTTATTTGTTCGAAAAATATATCAAAGTGGATATCATTTTGAAGAGCACAATTAATCTGATCTAACTGTGCAAAAAAAATTAAATTTCGACTTAAAACGAGTGAGAAATCGTCCGTCAAAGATTAAGGAGGGGAAAATTAAAGGCTTTCCAGGAGAGAGAGGATGCTGATGTCATGCTGATGTGGGCGGGTTACTCATAGTTACTCACCATAAGATTACTGACCTGATCCATTCCCGGGTTATTGGGCTCAAGATAGGGTGCATAACCACGGGTTATGCACCCATCAATAACTAAATCTGGACCCTTTATTTAGAAAATCCAGATCTAAGGATAGAAAATTAAAGGTCATTTTTATTTTTCCTAACTTTCTTAATCGGCTCATATCTTCTTCGTTTTAACTCGGATTTTAATTATTTTGCATAGATGGAACAAGATCGTTGTGCTCTACAAAATGAGATACATTTTCAATATTTTTTGAGAAATTTTTTTCCCTCTCGGTACCAACTGCATACCATATGGTATCTTCTTCGTTTTTAATTCGTTTTTTAAAACGTTTGCAAAGAAGGAACGAGTTCATCATGATCTATTGGATATACAAATTTCTAGGTGAACAAATTACAAGACCAAAAAATACCACACAATACCACCCTGGTACGGGGTGGTATCTTGTGGTACACAATGTTAAAAATCGTAAATGACAATTAATATACTTCTACTATCATGTATTCAATCATCCTACAGTCTTGATTTGTTCATACCACCATAGTACGCTTTTCAAACCATAAGTATGCTCTTATTTCAATACCAGTCAATACCATATGGTATAAACTGGTAAAAAATGACTCAATTTTTTTGTTCAAAAAATATATCAAAGTGGATATCATTTTGAAGAGCACAATTAATCTGATCTAACTGTGAAAAAATAAAATTTCAACTTAAAAAGAGCGAGAAATCGTCCGTCAAAGATTAAGAAGGGGAAAATTAAAGATTTTCCATGAGAGAGAGGGTGCTGATGTCATGCTGATGTGTGACAGGTTACTCATGGTTACTCACCGTAAGGTTACTGACCTAATTCGTTCCCGAGTTATTGGGGCAGGTGAAGCCATAAATAATTAATAATTCATTGTTTAACAAATAATTAATATATAATTAATTATTAATAATGCTAACATTATAAATTAAATATGCCCATAATTAAATGTTTATAGTATGTTAAATAATTATAAATTATCTTAGTGTACAAAAATTATTACTTAATTACGAGAGCTTCTTTTCGCAATTATAAATTAAGTGAGTGAGCTGAGTTATTCTCTTTTTTCTTATCCATTATATTGGCTGAGATTGATGCAACTCTCGTCAAACCCTAGTTGAATTAAACCCAATACTTTTTGGCTTTTGGTTAAAACCAAACCCTAATCTCATTAAACCCTAATTTGGCAAACCAAAATCTAACATAATATAAATATTTAATTACTAGATCCATTGACCAAAAAAATTATTGAAATCCTCATTAATCCACTAAAATGTGGATAGAAACACGATGGAATCCATCGTTTCTCGATTGGACATCCCGGAGAGAAAATGATGAATAGTGCCAAAATTTTGATCGAGGTTTTTGTGGGCTATGGGCGTCGTAACAAGGAGTTTTTTTAGCCTACCACGCGTATTTTGATGATGCAAACAATTGTTGTTATTGGATTGAAAGTAGGGGTGGCTATACGGTCCGGTCCGGTTAAATTGGCCCAAATTGATCCGGTCCAGTCCGGTTTTTTTGAAAATATAAGGACCGAAGATTGGATTGGATACAGTCCGGTCTTGATCCGGTCCGGTCTTGACTCGGTCCGGTCCCAATTCGGTCTTGATTTTATATTGAGATTGTGGGAATTTGAGTGGCCTAAGGCCTAAAAGGGTGAGGAGTTGGTTAAGTTTTGTACTAAGTGCAAAGGTTTGTGACCGTTTATGCAAATTAACCTTAAGTTTTGGGTGTTGAGCTCTCTTATCCGGTTTTTTACCTTAAATCTAAGCCCAAAGATTGGATTGAATTGTTTACTATCCGGTCTCGGTCCGGTCTCTGTCCGGGTTATACGGTCCGGTTTCTGGTTTTTCATCCGGTCCCGGTCCAAATAGCCAGCCCTAATTGAAAGACAATTTGGCCTCTAAAACGGGACTAGATACTATAACAACACCCCTTGTGTTGTTATTGTAACAACACTAGTCTCCAACCAATAGGAAGTTAGGGTTGTGATGACTTTTTATTAGATGAGTTGACCTAGTGTAAAATCAAAGCAGGGGTATAATTGTCATTATGAAAAATCTGTTTAAATAATAATAAAATAAAAAATAAAAAAATTATTTTTTATTTTCGGCCCAAAATTTTGGTCGCCGGAATCTGGTCGCCGGTCACTGGAAAATGCTATTTTTTCATCGGAATATGCTCATTGTCGCCGGAATATGCTTACCGGCGTCGGAATATGCTTACCGGCATCGGAATCTAGTCATCGGGGTCGGAATATGCTTATCAGCGCCGGAATTCGGTCACTGACGGTCACCGGAGTTCGGTCAACGAACTTCGTTGACCGGTCAATTGTCTTCGTTGACCGGTCAACGGCCAACGACCACCGGATGTTATAGTCTGATTGTGAGATTTATGGTTTGATTTCTCATATTTTTGTATGCCTTTTGTGGTTTGCTTTATCGTGTTTGTGGTTTGCATTAAGAAGTTTCTAGTTTGCTTTATCGTGTTTGTGGTTTGCATTGAGAAGTTTCTGGTTTGTTTTCAAAAAATTTGTGGTTTGCATTGAGGGGTTTCTGGTTTGTTTTAGGAGATTTGTGGTATGCATTAGGAGGTTTCTGGTTTGTTTTTGTAGTTTGCTTTAACGTGTTTGTGGTTTGCATTATGAGGTTTCTGGTGTATTTTTTAAAATTCTGTGGTTTCCTTTGCGGGGTTTCTGGTTTGTTTTAGTAGATTTTTGGTCTGCATTAAGACGTTTCTGGTTTGTTTTTGTGGTTTGCTTTATCGTGTTTCTGGTTTGCATTATGAGGTTTCTGGTGTCCATTAGAAATATTTATGGTATGCTTTGTGGGATTTCTGGTATGTTTTAGGAGACTTGTGCTTTGCATTAGTAGGTTCATGGTATACTTTTTGTGGTTTGTTTTACCTTATTTATGGTTGCATTATGAGATTTCTGGTATTGAAATGCTCATGTTCTGCATACCATAATAAATTTTAAGCACTCGACATCCCAACTATATTTCATCTTACACCAACATTAAGTTTTGGCTTAACTAAACTAATTAAGCTTCTTTTATTTATATTCCCTGACTTTTAACCAGAAGCTTCTTCCTCGCCACCTCTGCAGTCTGGAGCTATTTGCTAATCTCTCTTCATCACCATCATCTGCTTTTTCTTCCCCATCCCCACGACTTAGTATCTTGGAAAGATGGAAACATTAGCATTTGGTTTGCTTATTATAATCTTTGCATTACAACCAATCTCCGCTAGCTACTGTAACCCTTTTCCTAATTCGCCAAAAGGCTGAGGTGAGACACAAATGAAAGGGGGAAAGGAACAGTAGGCATGATAAATGTTGAAGCCTGAAACCTCCATTGGGAAAAGTTCATCTAACATCATTCGCTATGCGAGCTATCGCCTCTGGAGAATCACGAATCGGCTGTGGGAAAATCCAACTTGCTCTCCCGCTTCGCCCGTAACGAGTTCGACGCCAACTCCAAGGCCACCATCGGCGGCGTCAAGTTCCAGACCCAGCTCGTCGACATCGACGGCAAGGAAATCAAAGCCCAGATCTTGGACACCGCCGGCCAGGAGCACTTTGGGGCCGTCACCTCCGCCTACTACCGCGGCGCCGTCGTGCCCTCGTCGTCTACGACATCACCCGCCGTCGGCTTCGATTTCCAGCAGCAGCTGAAATCTCCCTGCCGAATTCCACTTCCACAGCGGCCTAGTCTATGAACATTCTGTTCCAGTCGAGATTGATATATTCTCGTCGTTGGCCCAATCATTGTCGATTCCACAGCCACAGCCGCGAATCTGAGGGAAGACGGAAACGAATCGAAGAAAGGAAGATCCGATGATGCTTATGCCTTTGAAATCGTGGGATCGACATTGGCGTCGGCGTCGAAACCAGAAGGAGGGAGAAACCGCTTGGATGGAGGAGGTTGAGTGGTGGCAGAGGAGATTGAGCGGTGGTTGCTGATGGTTCGGATATGCGTCGGCAACGGAAGAGTCCTAATGGAAACGTAAAGTGGAAAAGGAGCGGAGAGGAAGAGGGGTTCAGATTTTTAATTTAGTTATTTTTTGTAATTTCCCTATTTACCCTTGTTGTTATAATAACAACAATTAGACTGTTGTTATACTATCCGCACCCCTCTAAAACAGTGTTAAGAGCATACCTATGGTATGAAAAACGTACCATGGTGGTATGAAGAAGCCAAGACTGTAAGATGGTTGAATACATGATAGTAAAAGTATATTAACTGTCATTTACGACTTTTAACATTATGTACCACAAGATACCACCCCGTACCACGGTGGTATTGTGTGGTATTTTTTGGTCATGTATTTTGTTCACCTAGAAATTTGTACATCCAACAGATCATGATTAACTCGTTCTTTCTGTGCAAAATTTTTCAAAAACGAATTAAAAATGAAGAATATACCATATGGTATGCAATTGGTACCGAGAGGCTCAAATTTTTTTTTTCTAAAAAGAATATTGAAAATGGATCTCATTTTGTAGAGCACAACAAACTAGTTACATCTATGCAAAAAAAAATTGAAATCTGAGTTAAAATGAAAAAGATATGAGCCGATTAAGAAAAAAAAAAGAAAAATAAAAATGTCTTTAATTCTCCACCTTTAGATCTAGATTTTCTTAATGAAAGGTCTAGAATTAGTTACTGATGGGTGCATAACCCATGGTTATGCACTGTATTTTGAACTGATTTCTGGTGTATTTTTTTAGGGAAATGTCTATCTTTTATCCAACAAAAATTTCGAATTTCTTTGATACATATATTACCCTTTTTTATCTTTCTAGTTTCCATCATGAGAGTTTTGGTGTGGGTGCACGTGTTTTTGATAAGCTCGAGGAACTTGTAATCTGCTTTATGAGATTTTTGTTAAGCTTAGAAAGTTTGTATGTTTATGAGATTTATAATGTAGATTAACATTGGGCCGTACTTGGGAGACACGACAGATGCATGTTTCGGACTCATTTATCTCGTGTCTTACTTGGCAAGACGGTTAATTTTCATGTAGCGTCGTGTCTGCTAGGTTTGAACATGTCGGGTAAATAGAAATGCTTAATGAAAAAGAAGAAAATAAAAGAGGGAATAGACATGAGAAAATTAGACGGTGATTGAAAGTATTAATTGAAAATATTTGAGAAAGTAACAAATAACGCGAAGAAGCAACAATAAATAATTATTATGTAGTTGTATTTTTTTCATTTCAAACTTAGCTTGTGGTTTCTCCTTATAATTATTTTAACAAGAGAAGTATTTTTTTGTATCATGTCATGCTTAAACTCAATATGGTCTTAAAAAGATTAGACACATGATTGAACTATGTAGAAATATTTTATTAATTTTATGTGTAGGAACATGTCAAAGAAATATGTGATTCTGATAACGTATTTTACTTATCAAGCTAGCATTTTCACTTCATAATATTTCCAACGGCTGATGTAGTACAATTACAAAAATTGTTAATTTTTAGCATATAAGTATATTAGTACATATATTCGTAGTATTGCAGATAAGTCTTTTTATTTTAATTATTTTTCATATTTTAAATGACATGATATAAAAATGAAAAAAGTGTTTTTATTTGAATAATAATTAAATTTTATATTTTCATTTTGTTTTTCAATTTTTAGTTTTGTCCAAATATTTGTAATTGTTTATAGAACATATTATAAAAAAACTTTAAAAAAAGTTATTTTATTTATTAATGATTATATATTTTTTTTTGATAATGGTGAAACGATTTTATTGAAACAAGAAAGGGAGAAAAAACAACACGTACAAGACACCAGCTCTGGTTCAAAAAGCTGAACCAAAAGCCTGGAAAAAAGGAACCAAAAGCCCTCCTCACAACTAAGTGGACCAGACCACTTCTGAAGGAGGCGAGCGGAAACAGAACCAAGACAAAGGCAAGAACTCGCAATAGAAAAACAAAGACAAAGACAAACAAGAATTCTGCAGACAAAAAGCACTACACTGGCTCCCCAGCTCTTCCTGAATCTTTTCGTGGAAGGTGGACTAAGCGATAACAATCCTGAAAGCACAAGACCACAAACTCACGAGACCACAAACTCTGGAAATTCTGGACGCCTCAAGACTCCTCGCCCGTCGAGAAACAATGAGACGGATGGGGTGAAGGAACAGGGGGAAGATTAATGAGAGTGCTGCTGTAAACGATGAAGCCATTCCCTGCCAGTGTCCTTAGTCACCTTGCCCATAGCGATGGGCCACTCGATCATTGCCTTGAAAGCTTTCAAAGTGATAGACAGCGGATCAAGGTGCTTGTCCTTGAAGATTCTCCTGTTTCGCTCGAGCCATACCTGCCAAAAGATGGCGTGAAGAGCAGTATAGTTAATCCAGCCATCAAAATTATCCGGTGTATCGAACTTCCATCTGCTGATTGAGGATTGGACATCGTCAGCGAGTGATTCGATGCTTGAGCAGAAAAATCGGCTTTTCCTCCAAACCTCCTTGCTGAAATCACAGTGAATGAAAATGTGCGCTGCTGTCTCCTCATCTCTACCACAGAGTTTGCATCTATTCGCAAGCTGCCGACCCCTCTTCTTGATGATGTCAAGAGTGAGATGTTTCCCGAGGTAAGTAAGCCACATGAAAATACAAATCTTCGATGGTATGATCGACTTCCAAACGGCCTTTGCGGGGAAGTTGTTGATGCCCGAAAATTGATCTTTTGTTAATGCCCTGTACATAGAACGCACGGAAAAAGGGTGGTCCGCAGAAGGAAGCCAGACGGGTCTACTAGGACCGCTGGACAGCCTTGAAGCGGCGTAAGTCTCAAGGAATCTAAGTAATTGAACCCGCTCCCGCTCAGCCCCCCCTCTCAAAGAAAAATTTAAAGGAATTACCCATTCGATCACACTACCTGAAAGAATTCTGCTTTCGGAAACCGTGGCATCAGAAGCGCTGGTGGCGGCGGCAATGCGTGGGAAGGAAGCAGACAGAGAGGCTTGAGGGATCCACCGATCGTGCCAAAACGAGGTCCAGTCTCCATTACCGGGGTCGATGCAGGTTAAATTCCAGAAGCAGCTATGCTCTTTCATAATATTTGCCCATGCCGAATTGGCGTAGCCACCGTACTGGTTACCTGTGTGCCAACAGGAGTGGGGATTGGGGAATTTGATGTTAATAAGCTCCGTCCACCAGCTGCTGGTCTCCGTAGCGATGCGCCAATGCCATTTGGATAGCATAGCGGTGTTGAAGCTCGCTAGATCAAAGATGCCCAACCCACCCTTGGATTTAGGAGCCTTGCAAAGATCCCAGCTAACCAGAGGACTCTTTCTCTCTTCTGCAGTCCCGTTCCAAATAAACCTCCTTTGGATGCCCTCCATAGTTTTGATAACTGTCTTCGGTGCTTTGAGAAGTGAGAAGTAGTAGACGGGTTGGCTTGTGAGTACGGCCTGATTAAGAACGAGCCTGCCGCCTAGAGATAAAAACCGACCCTTCCACCCTTGTAATCTGTCTCTGTATTTCTGGATAATAGGCCCCCAAGATGATACTGCGTTCAGTTTAGCTCCGAGGGGGAAACCAAGGTATCTAGAAGGCTGGTCGCTCCATCTGCACCCAAAAAGAGAAGCATAGAATTCCGGGTTTTGGACGTCTCCCACGGTGAAAATTACAGATTTCTCAAGGTTAATCCGGAGACCTGTAACTGCCTCGAAGCAGACTAGTGTGGAGAGCACATTCAAGACTTGATCGGCAGAGGCTTCACAGAAAATCAAAGTGTCATCGGCGACTAGAAGATGAGTAACTTCACCGAGCCCGCCTTGTTCATCCATGGAAAACCCTTTGATTTTACCGTTCTCTTTCAACTTGTTCATCATGAAGTCCAAGACGTCCATAACCAAAGAGAAAAGACCCGAAGAGAGCGGATCGCCTTGACGGAGCCCTTTGTGCATAGGAAAAAATCCGTGCGATTCCCCATTGACGAGGATGGAGATAAGGGGAGAACGCATTGTACCTTGTATCCATTTAATCCATTGCGAGGGGAACCCGAGCTTGGATAGAATCTTGAAAAGGCAATTCCAGTTCACGTTGTCGAAAGCCTTTTCGATGTCGAGCTTAAGCATCAAACCCGGTTTTTTACTCTTCTTTCTGCTGTCGATGAGCTCGAAAGCGATTAAAGCTGCGTCACTAATCTGTATGCCCTTGACCGAAGCTTGTTGGTTCACGGAAACGAGGCTAGGAAGGATATCTCTCATTCTACAGGCGAGAACCTTACTAAGCAGCTTGTTGATGCAGCCCATCAAACTGATCGGACGCAGGTCTTTGGTGTCTTCAACAGTGTCTTTTTTAGGAAGGAGGCAAAGGAAGGAGTGAGCAGCACTCTGAGGGAGAACACCAGTGGAATGGAATTCGTTGAAGGCGTTGAGGATGTCATTTCTGAACTAATTCCAGCAGCGCTTGAGAAAGTCTCAGGTGAAGCCATCAGGCCCCGGGGCTTTGCTGCCATCGCTCTCCGAGAGACAGACTATAATTTCTTGTTCGGTGAAAGGCCGAGTGAGGAGCTGACACTCGCTGGGGGAAAGATGACGCTCGACATATCTGCAAGGAAAAGGGCGGTTGGGTAAATCCTCTAGGAAAAGATTTTTGTAATGATTGACCATACCCGCCGCGATTTCCTGTTTTCCTTCGACAATCACTCCGCCGATCATGATGCGATCGATTATGTTGATCTTTCGCCTGAAA